TGAAAAGTGGGGCGTGTAATATTATTGGGCCCCCTTGCATTAATACTTTGTAGCGCTGCCTTTTGCTGCAGTTCCTCCTGCAAGTCTCTTGGGGTTTGTCTCTATCAGTTTTGCACATGGAGACACTGAAGTTCTGCCCATTCTTCCTGCAGAACAGCTGGAGCTCAGTGAGGTTGTATGGAGAGCGTTTGTGAACAGCAGTCTTCAGCTCTTTCCACAGATTCTCGATTGGATTCAGGTCTGGACTTTGACTTGGCCATTCCAACACCTGGATACGTTTATTTGTGAACCATTCCAATGTAGATTTGGCTTTATGTTTTGGATCATTGTCTTGTTGGAAGATAAATCTCCATCCCAGTCTCAGGTCTCTTGCAGACTTCCTGTATTTGGCCCCAGCCATCTTCCCATCAATTCTGACCATCTTCCCTGTCCCTGCTGATGAAAAGCAGGCCCAAACCATGATGCTGCCACCACCATGTTTGACAGTGGGGATGGTGTGTTCAGGGTGATGAGCTGTGTTGCTTTTACTCCAAACATACCATTTTGCATCGTGGCCAAACAGTTGGATTTTGGTTTCATGTGACCAGAGCACCTTCTTCCACATGTTTGGTGTCTCCCAGGTGACAAACTTTAAACAACACTTTTTATGGATATCTTTGAGAAATGGCTTTCTTCTTGCCACTCTTCCATAAAGGGCAGATTTGTGCAGTGTACGACTGATTGTTGTCCTATGGACAGACTCTCCCACCTCAGCTGTAGATCTCTGCAGTTCATCCAGAGTGATCATGGGCCTCTTGGCTGCATCTCTGATCAGTCTTCTCCTTGTTCCAGATGAAAGTTTAGAGGGACGGCCGGGTCTTGGTAGATTTGCAGTGGTCTGATACTCCTTCCATTTCAATACGATTGCTTGCACAGAGCTCCTTGGGATGTTTAAAGCTTGGGAAATCTTTTTGTATCCAAATCCGGCTTTAAACTTCTCCACAACAGTATCTTGGACCTGCCTGGTGTGTTCCTTGGTCTTCATGAAGCTCTCTGTGCTTTGAACAGAACCCTGAGACGATCACAGAGCAGGTGCATTTATACGTAGACTTGATTACACACAGGTGGATTCTATTTATCATCATCAGTCATTTGGGACAACATTGGATCATTCATAGATCCTCACTGAACTTCTGGACTGAGTTTGCTGCTCTGAAAGTAAAGAGGCCCAATAATTTTGCACGCCCCACTTTTCAGTTTTTTATTTGTTAAAAAACTTTGACACATCCAATAAATTTCATTCCACTTCACGATTGTGTCCCACTTGTTGTTGATTCTTCACAAAAAAATTAAAATTTTATATCTTTATGTTTGAAGCCTGAAATGTGGCAAAAGTTTGAAAAGTTCAAGGGGGCCCAATACTTTCGCAAGGCACTGTAGCTCCCTCACTCATGGTTACTCTACTGAATGACCTAACACAAACACAATAAACACAGAAACTAAACTAAGAACAACAGACTAATCACTAAAAAAACAATGCTAAGCAGCTAACTGAAATGATTAACAGTGAATATAAATTGCATCCATAATCCCTCCATGAGTCTCACTGAGTCACGAGGACCCACCCCCCAAGAGAGACATGTATTGATGAGACTACCTGTATAAATAAAGATTAAAAAAATTTGACCAATGAACTTACCGAATAGGTCAAAGCTAAACCAATGAAACGAGGAGGGGAGGAGAGAATGGGAGGGGGGAATCTCCCCTCCTCCCATCTGTGTGTGTTAAACAGTAGAATAAAATCACGAGGACCCACTCCTCAAGAGAGATGTGTACTGGGCAGCTATGTGAGTGCCTGGGTGTTACAAAGCTAAATGTATCTGGCAACAGGAAGCTTGTTAGCTCGTCAAAAAAATAAAATTTAAAAATCTATAAATTAGCTGCAACACTGTATAAGCCACGGGTAGGGCTAAGCGATATGAACCAAAATGAATATCTCGATATTTTAAAATAAATCGCGATACGATATACATCTCCATATTCTTTTTTTCCATAAAGTAATAAAAAATATATATTTCTGAGTCAAAGCTTCATCCCAGTTGTCACACAGGCACATTTATTAACAGCTGTAACTGTACAAAATCAATGTCTAAAAAATAAACATATATTAAAGTTTGTTTTTAGACTTTTTTTTTTTTTACATATCCATCCATCCATTATCTTTTACTCGCTTCTTCCATTTTGGGTCACGGGGGTCGCCGGTGCCCATGTCCGGCAATCACAGTGCGAGGGGCGGGGGACACCCTGGACAGGTCTCCAGTCCATCACAGGGACACATAGAGACAAACAACCATTCACTCTCACACCTAGGGACAATTTAGAGTTACCAGTCAGTCTAACATGCATGTTTTTGGTCTGTGGGAGGAAACTGGAGGACCCGGAGAAACCCCACACATGCACGGAGAGAACATGCAAACTCCACCCAGAAAGGCCCCCGGACCGGGATTTGAACCAGGGACCTGCTCGCTGAGAGGCAGCAGCTCTACCAGTTGTGCCACCGTGCTGTTTTTTTTTTTTTAACATATTAATTAATAATCGTCCCCAGCTGCACCGCATGTGTGAGCTGCAGCAGTGAGAGAGGAGAGTGATGAACCTGTAGAATCTATTTTGGTATAGAGCTGCAAGTCATCTGCATAACAATGAAAAGAGATCCTGTGATGAGTGATAATGTGACTGAGGGGGAGGATGTAGAAGGTAAATAATGTGGGCCCAAGTACTAACCCCTGAGGAACACCATAGGTAACTGTGTGGGTCCAAGATCTTGCTTCCCCGATGGAGACTTACTCAGATCCGTCAGAGAGGTAAGAGCGGAACCATTCCAGTGCTGTCTCAGTCAGTCCTGCAGTGTGTTGTAGGCGGTGGAGAAGGATGCCATGATCCACAGTATCAAAAGCTGAGCTCAAGTCCAGGAGGATCAAAAGGGAGGGAGAACCAGCATCAGCTGCCATCAGAAGGTCATTTGTGACCCTGACCAGAGCCGTTTCCGTGCTATGAGCTGAACGAAAGCCGGACTGGAATACCTCATAGATATTATTAGTGGTGAGGTGGTCGTGTAGACGGGCTACCACAAGTTTTTCCAGCACTTTGGACAAAAATGGAAGGTTGGCAACAGGTCTATACATGATGGGCTGGATCCAAGGTGGGCTTTTTAAGAGGAGGTTTGATGATTGCTATTTTCAAGGTAGGTGGGACAAAACCAGTTTGGATGGAGAGGTTTATCACAGATGTGATCAAAGGACTGATGAAAGAAATGTTTCTTTTCAGCAGAGCAGTGGGAAAAAGATCAAGGGCACAAGAAGAGGATTTCATTCCTTTGATAATAGCTGTCACTTCTTGCTCGGAGACCATGCAAAACATCGAAAAAATTGAGGATTGTTATCCTGGGGCTTGTAAAATGGTGCAGGTGAAACTACCAAGTTTGTCAGGGCAGACCGGATGATGTGAATTTTGTTATGGACAAAGTCCATAAAGTTATTGCGGTGTTCATCAGTTGTTTCTGTAAGTGAGGGGGGTTTGGGTTTAAGGAGATGGTTTACTGTGGAAAAAAGTTGTTTGGAGTTCCCAGAGCTGTTGTTAATGATGGCAGAGTAGTGGTTGGAAAGTGCTTCATGGAGGGCCTTTGCATAAATCTTTTGATGCTCCCGACAGGCCTGCTTATGAACAGTGAGTCCAGAGCTGATGTATCGACGCTCAAGGGCACGTCCAGATGTTTTCAAGTGTCTCAGTTCATCATTATACCAGGGAGCTGAACGGGTAAAGCTGACAGCTCTAGTTTTAACAGGTGCATGCAGGTCCAAAAGGTCACTCAAGGTTTCATTATAGAAGTCCAATGACTCACTAAGTGAAGATGGATGAATAGTAAGGTTGTGCTGAAGGTCTGCTGCCAAGATATCGGAATTGATGTTTTTCAAGTTCCTGAAAGAGATTTGTTGCTTTCGTTTGCACGGTTGAGTTGGAAAGGGCAGCTCCATAGAAATGGCCTTGTGGTCAGAAACACCAAGATCGCGTGCAGTCACATTACTGGCAATAGCTGACTCTGTGATAATCAGATCCAAAGTTTAACCCCTGGTGTGTGTGGGAACATCAACATGCTGCTTTAAATTAAAGCAATCCAAAAGTTGAAGAAATTTAGCTGCAAAGCTGCAGGAAGGATCATCAACATGGCGGTTAAAATCACCAAGTAGTAAGAGGTTAGCAGATGTAGCACAAAAGGATGAAAGAAGATTTGACATCTCAGAGATGAAGGCTGGGTGGTCGATAGATGAGGAGAGCTGTTATAGAAGAAGGGGGTTTGCTTTTAAATGCTAAACATTCAAAAGAAGTTAAGTCTGGCAGGGGAAGCAGGGATAAAGTACACCACGGATCGTGCTTCCATAACAGATCGGGGAATGACAAGTGTTGCTCCACCTGGAGAGAAGCAGGGGGAGGGGGCTTGGGTAGGGGCTGGGTTTGCAGTGAGAGTAGGGGGGCCGTGTGAGAGAAAAAAAGAAGACAGCAGAGCCGGCGGATTTTCAAGTAGAACTATATTGTTTATATCAAAATAATGTTAATTTATATAACAAATAAAATTATATAGATATTTTAAAAATACTGATATATCGCCCAGCCCTAGCCGTGGAGTTCAAAGCCTGTGAAAAAAGTAGGGGCTTATAGATAAGAAAATACGGTAGTTAGTTAACAGGACAGCTGGCATGGCTAGTTGGCACAAAAACCAGACCTGACCTGACCTCAGTTGCTGACAGTCAAACATGGTTGAAACATTTTGGTGCTGTTCCAAAAAATAAAAAGGCCACAACTTGTGATCTCCCGAATACAGCTTGAACTGACTTTATGTACTGGTTCACCTGAAGCCCATTTCTAAGATTAGAGACAGCCAAATGTTTTACACATCTGCACTATCCACATTACAACCCAGTTCTAGACAACCCCAGTCCAAGTAAAACCTCAGTAGTAAGACTGACCCCTTCTTGCAGATCCTCAGACTTGCCCATGAGATCATCCAGCCTTTCTCCTCTGGCGATGATCCGGTTCACATTCTGTGACATGATGTTTGTTACTCCATCCACCTGATCCTTCAAGGTCTGCACCTTGTCTTTCTGCTCTGGTGCCTCCTCCAGTCCCCCACGCTCCTGTAGTGGAGTACAGACGACAGTTAGCGTCAATACATGATGAAACAAGAGGGAGACCTATACTGGTTTTTCTCTGGCTGATAGCATTCTTTAGAAATCTGGACAGCGGATGGCTGATATACAACACTGCTTCTTTTCATCAATTAACAAAATATAACAATAAATGCTGAACTTAAATCATTCATTCATTCAACCTTTATTTAGACAGGTAATTCCCATTGAGCCTTGAGGACTCATTTACAAGAGAGACCTGATTTCAACAAAGAAAAATGACAAGAGTGGACAAAAACAACAACAATAGACAGTTATAAAAAGGCATACAAATTTTTTTATTTTTTATACAAATAAGATGGAAAAAAAGAGTAACAAAACAACTAGATTATAAGGCGAATGTAAAAAGTAAAAACAGGAACCTCTAAAAAAGTTAAATCTGGTCCTCTGGACATTCAAAAAAACAAAACAAAGCAAATCAACAAAGAAATGTAGAAACGTTTCGTCTCTCATCCGAGAGACTTCCTCAGTCTGAGGAGCTGTATTCAGCTCAGTCTCTTAAATAGCACCGTCTCAGAGTGGATCAACCAGTTTGCTGCTGACAACCAAAACCAGCTGATCACATGCTCAAGAAGGACCATCAGCATAACAATGGATCATTAGCACCTGATGGCTGTTTACTACTCACAGAGGGCTGAGTGATACTAGCAATCACAGCATTGTAAGAGGGGGACAGTTGAACCCGGAGGCCTCCACCCCTGTTTAACGATGGACGATTTCTTTTCACAAAGATGGCCTCCTTTACTCCTCTCTCAAACCATCGTTCCTCTCTGTCCAGGATGTGAACATCTTCATCCCTGAAAGAGTGACCGCTGGCCTGGAGATGAGTGTAGACCGCAGAATCCTGGCCTGATGATGTTGATCTTCTGTGCTGGGCCATCCTTTTGGCCAGTGGCTGTTTCGTTTCCCCGATGTAAGACTGATCACAGCCCTCCTGACACTGAACAGCATACACAACATTGCTCTGTTTGTGCTGGGGGACTGGATCTTTGGGATGAACCAGTCTTTGCCGTAATGTATTTTGGGGTTTAAAAGCCACTGGGACGTTATGTTTAGAAAATAAACGTCTCTGTTTCTCTGATACTCCCTCAACATATGGAATGACCACTGGTCTGGGTCTGGGTTCCTCCTTTTCACCTGTTCGCTGACTGGAGTCCTGTTTGGGTTTCTTCTCTGCTTTCAGGAAGGCCCAGTTAGGATATCCACATTGCTCTAGAGCCTGTCTTGTGTGGGATTTCTCCTTCTGCCTGGCTCCTGAGCTAGTGGGGACGCTGTCTGCTCTGTGATACAGAGTCCTGATGACTCCTAACTTGTGCTCCAAAGGGTGATGGGAGTCAAACTGCAAATACTGGTCTGTGTGTGTCAATCAAGATGGCCGCACTCAGAGCAGTTGCAGCTTCACAGGCTCCCGGTACCATCCCAGTTTTTAGAAGTTTTGATATTGACTCTGTACCTGACTCCGCGCGATTTATGCGTGTGAACTATAGCCGAACCGAACTGATGAGAATAGGAGCGGATTTGCCACGAAATATAGCAGAAATCAGCAACAAACTCAAAGCTACGCTCGGCAGAATGCAGATCTTAAAGTCATCTACCTGGAAGCTGCAGCAGAGGCGTTCCAGCGGGCAGAAGAGGAAGCGCTGCTCCCGGCTTAAGAGGAGAGGATGCCGGACGGGGGTTATGGTGAGGCTACGAGCTAACGCTAAAGCCGGTAAACTCCCCATGCCGTCTCTCTTTCTGTCGAATGTCCGCTCGTTGGACAACAAGGTGGATTTACTTCGTCTGAGAGCGGGCGCCTCAGAAGAGATGAAGAAGTGTGCAGTGCTTTGCCTCACGGAAACGTGGATTACAAGCGAAACGCCGGACTCAGTCTTCCAGCTGGATGACAGACTTTTTTTTCGAGCGGACTGCTGCAGCGAGCTAACGGGGAAATCACGGGGGGGCGGAGTATGCATTTACGTGAGTAAGAGTTGGTCCACGAACTGTACTGTTGTAAATAGCTCATGCTCGAAGGCTTTGGAGCAAATAACAGTGAAATGTCGGCCACATTATCTACCCCGAGAGTTCACGGTGACTTTTATCACAGTTGTTTACATTCCTCCGGACGCTAATGCTAATGAATCACTGCAGGAGCTTCATGATATCATCAGCTCGCTGCAGAACAAACACCCCGAGGCTCTTTACGTGGTAGCCGGAGACTTTAACCACGTGAATCTAAAGGAGTGTCTCCAAAGCTTTAATCAGCATGTGACGATTCCGACACGTGGAGACCGCACGCTGGACCGTGTTTACACGAACGTAAAAGATGCATACAAAGCCGAACCCCGCCCCCACCTAGGACTGTCAGACCACATCTCAATCTTCCTGGCTCCTGCTTACATGCCCCCGCTGAGACGCTCCAGACCGGTACAAAAGAAAGTTAAATGTTGGATCCAGGACAGTGGCCCCATACTGAGAGATTGTTTTGATCGAACAGACTGGCAGGTTTTCAGAGAAGCTGCTGAAAATGGAGGTTCGCTTGATCTTGACCAATACACATCCTCAGTACTGGGTTACATTAGTACATGTACTGACACAGTCTCCACTATCAGAAATGTTAAAAGCTACCCAAACAGAAAACCTTGACTGAATGCAGAGGTGCGTACCCTGCTGGAAGCCAGGAACACTGCCTTCAGGTCTGGAAACTCAGAGGAGCTGAGTAGGACAAGAAAAGAGCTGGTTGCTGGTATTAAGAGGGCCAAGGCCACATATGCAAAGAGGATCGAGGGTCAATTCATCTCACAAGACCCTCGGAGCATGTGGAGGGGCATTAAGTGCATAACAGATTATAAAGGAAGGAGCGAACAATGTCCCAAAGACCCATCTCTGCCTGATGCCCTCAACAAGTTCTATGCACGCTTTGAAGACCCGAACAGACCACCCAGCACCAGACTCACCTCGCCACCGGATGAAGAGCATCTCAGCGTGACCTCAGCAGAAGTAAGGAGTACCTTCAGGAGGATTAATCCGCACAAAGCAACTGGCCCAGACAACATCCCCGGAAAAGTGTTGAAGGAATGTGCTGATCAGCTCTGTGAGGTGCTGGCAGACATCTTTAACACCTCACTTACCCTGGAGACAGTTCCCACCTGCCTGAAGACTGCCACCATCATCCCAGTCCCAAAAAGCTCTACAGTGACTGGTCTGAATGACTATCGGCCAGTGGCCCTCACCCCGATAGTCGCTAAATGCTTCGAAAAACTGGTCATGACTCGCATCAAAACAACCATCAACATCAACGAGGACCCTCATCAGTACGCATACCGTGAGAACCGATCAACAGAGGATGCAATCTCCTCTGTGGTCCACACTGCGCTCAACCACCTGGAGCAGAAAAACTCTTACGTCCGTATGCTCTTTGTGGACTTCACATCCGCCTTCAACTCCATGATCCCCCAAACCCTGATGGACAAACTATCCACACTAGGACTAAGCCCCTCCATCTGCAACTGGGTACTAGACTTTTTAACAAACAGACCACAGTTAGTGAGGATCCACAACCTCTCCTCCTCCACCATAACCCTCAGCACTGGCTCTCCTCAGGGATGTGTGTTGAGCCCCCT